GTGGAATCAATTTCATTGTCATGCAATGCATGTGCACTAGCCTATATCTGCTCTACCTTTACAAACCAAATGGGTTTGCTCATTGCCGTCACTGCCTACTTATCGTAAACGCTTTCTCTGCGCCGGTCCACTTGACATTAAGGGAGGGTTATTTATCCTGCTTTACGATGTGTGTCTTAATATCGTACTAATTAGGACCCCGTCAGGGACAATTATTACATTGATTTTAATTTTGTGATAAATTATATTTTACGTAGTTCGTTTGTGTCAGCAACTTTTCCACTTATTGCACAATCCACCTTTTTTGTTGCATTCCGCATTTTACATGTTTTTTATCATGGCCGCAGCCGTGTTGTGCAGCAAAGTTTCGTAAGGAAGTAACACTAATTCCCGGCGTGTTTGGTGTGTTGTAACTCTACAGTTACATGATGTCGCAGGAGAGACGTCAAAACGCGGGTAGTAAGCTTGGGGACATGTTGGCGCTCTAAAGGAGGAGGATGACTTCGACATGGATGACGAACCCACGTGGAGCTCGCGGGGTGTCGACTCGAAGTTATTGGGCGGGGAAAAACCGTAAAGTATCACCGGCTTGGCGGCGGGAGGATTTGGAGGAGTTGGAATTGTCGGTGAATGACCTCGAGAGGGAATTAAAGGCTCTACAACTGAAAAAGAAAGAGATGACCTACTAAAACAGATTGAGTCAGAGAAATCATCAGGAACTGAACAGGAGGGCGGTCAACATGCACACGTAGGATGCAGTACACCAGGACTCAGTGGATCGGTCCAATGGGAAGAGGTAAAAAGCTAAGACTATAACAGATTATATATGGACAAACCCCTAGATATTTTGGAAGAAGGGAGCATAATTGACATTGGAGGTGGAGCTATAGTGCGATTGGGTGGACCACCGAAAATTGTCGTTGGGCAAGATTTCTATGGAACAATGGACATTCGCCAGTCTAGGAATTATGAAGGAATTGCCTTCATCAGAGCATCCGGGTACATAAAATATATGCAAACAATTATGCGTCTGGCTTCTAATAATGTCTGGCACAGTGTACTACTATTCGACAAAGAATATCGTGAGCTGCAGGCAGCCGAGGATTCCCTTGGGGATCTCCCCAACCGGGCGTCGCAATTTCTACCTGATTCCTAAAGCCACTAGTGCCACTGGGGCTGCAATGCACATGATGAAAGAGGTAGGCCAGAACTCGAATGTTGGTAACAAAGCGTTATGCATCTCACAAAGGTCCATTCATGCCAGATGGAAGGAAATCTGCGGGCGCTATAACGCTGGATAACTGTAACCGTATGGAGAGCGAAATGCAAGCTTGTCCATAGTTGTGCTCTGTGCTATTCTTTCTCTCATGGTGCTGCACGTCATCGCCAGCAGCACCGTCTGTCACTGGATCTCTATCAGATCACTCCTTTCAACAGCGTAGCACTCAGTTTGCAAAAAAGCGAGGGAATGAAAGTAGACAGACACCAGTAGATAGTGATGCACATCTCCATGGGTGCCTTCAGCCAGAAGCATGGTTTAGGCTCCTACCTGAGAGTGATGTGGACAGGTGTTATATTTTGAATGGTGTGAGTAATGGTTTTAATTTAGTGGACAAGGATATTTCCAGTGTAAAATGTGTATCAACATAACCACCGCTCGGCTTTCGAGTTACACAGAGACAAAGTTGAGGAGCAGCTTATCCTTGGAATTCAACAGGGACATTATGGAGTTTGTGCTGAGAAACCTCTAATTGTTTCAGCTCTTGGTGCGATACCAAAAGAGGATGGTTCTGTGCGTCTAATTCACGCGATGCAAGTCTGCCGGTGAATGGAGGTTTGAACTTCGTATGTGGAGGATACTACATGCTCATACATGGATTTGGACGATGCCTGCAAATATATATAAAGCCAGGTGATTATCTGGCAAAAGATTTGAGTTTGAAGAGTGCGTATAGATCAATTAAGCTTCATAAATCAAACTACAAGTTGACTGGTCTCTCTTGGAAATTTTCAGGTGACAAGAACAATACATTCCTGTATGACAAACGTCTACCTTTTGGCAGTGCCAAGGGCCCTCAAATGTTTCAAAGATTGTCTAGTGCAGTGTGCCGCATCATGCACTATTGATATGGATTCACTGTGATATCATACCTTGATGATTTTTGGTGATTGAAAAGAGTTTTGACATGTGTTTGAAAGGACTCAATGTGTTATTGAGGGTTCTCAGAGAGCTTGGATTTTTACATTAATTGGAAAAAGTGGTTGGACCTTCCCAAAATTGATTTACCTTGGCATTTTGGTAGACACCTGTGCTCTTACCCTGTCGCTACCAACAGCAAAACTACAAGACTTCATGAATGTGATCAAAAACTTTAGCACAAAATCAAGAGCCTCTAAGCGGAACTACAGCAATTGATAGGGAAACTGAATTGGGCATGTAGAGTTGTTAAGGAGGCGAACTTTCTTGCGTCAGTATAATTGATTGTAGTACTGCCCTGAAAAAGCCTGGACACAAAATCAAACTATCATGTGATTTTCAGAAGGACATAGATTGGTGGATTTCATTTATGTCTGTTTTCAATGGTTGTGTACATCATTCATTGACAATAGGCCCATCACATCCCTGCAGACTGATGCCTGTGACCAAGGGGTGCAGGCTATTACTGTGGGGACTATTTCTACATCAACTGGCAGGAAGATAGACCTGATGTTAGAGATTCACACATAAACTTGAAAGAGACTTTGTCTATTATTGCTAGCGGTTGATCGTTGGGCCCCACTTTGCAAATAAGACTGTGGTAGTCTTCACTGACAATATGGCTGGCCCGAAGTTTGCAATTAATAAGGGCTCTTCATGTATTCATGGTGTCATGCCAGGCTTACGTCATCTGTTTTGGCTTAGTGCCTGCTACAACTTCTTAGTTAAGGCTGTATATATTCCGGTAGGAACAATGTAGTGGCAGATACTTGTCTCGTCTGCATGAACCGAAAGATTATCTCAGTTTTACCATCTGCTTCGGTATATGCTTTGGGTTATGTGCCTTTTAGTATTTCCGAGCTTTCACAGCATATGTCAATGCAGTTTATCGCGTTTCCAGGTGGTCGGCGACAAGAGATCGCGGGGAGATGTTGGAACAGTCGGTGATCACTTACGGAAGCAAGGGATGGGCTAGCGAATCTACCAAGCGGACATACAGACAGCATTTGCAATGCTACCTAGATTTCTGCCACTTATTGAACATTGAACCTGTGCCATTGTCGAAAGTGAACACTCCAGTCTACCTTGCATATTTAGCGATTTCAGGGGGTTGTGTTTTGCCTCTATCACGGAGTTATATATGTATTGTTAGAACCCTTCACAAGCAACATAATTTAGGGGATCCTTTTGCATTGTGGACACCCCACCATGTTCTGCAGGGTATGAGAAGGAGCTTGGTGAGGAGCAACATGGTGCTACGCCTGTTACCCCAGAATTGTTATTGGCCCTACATAGTACATTGTCTTGGGACAATATGTTTCACCTGCTCAGTTTGGGCAGGATGTATGATTGCCTTTACGGTTTATTGGCGTTGGCTAATTTCCTGTGCAGATCCCTTTCAGAGGCAGGCAAAGGGAAGCTGTTGTGTGTAGGGGATGTGTCGTGTCACCCTAGGAAGCGGTTATAACGTTACACTGGACAAAGACTATTCAGTTCGATCAGAAGAAAGTGTATGTTGCAGCTTCCGTCACTGGAGAAGTCTGTTCTGTGCCCAGTCACAGCTCTGACCAAACTGTTTTATTTTCATTTACAGCTGAAATCGCGAACAGAAGAGTGCTTTGCTGAGAGATGAATATGACAGACCTTTGTTATATTCTGTGTTTCTTGACTTTGTGAACTCTTGTTTACATAGAGCTGGCCATGCCTCTGTCAAGTTAACTGGACATTCTTTTCAAGGGGCGAGGCTCCAGTGGGCAGCCCATATGGGCCTTTCTCATGCCAACATTCAGGAGTTGGGTTTTGAAGCCAGTAATGCCTATTTTATGTTATCTGGACCCCACAGTTTCACAGAGATTCCAGTCTCTCCATCTTTTTCTCATCGGGCCTTCCCTAATGGGGTTGGGGGTCTCTCCTGTCACTGTGTAGTTTATTAACCTGGACAGATTCTTACTTATGTATGTTTGGGGGTTAATAAACTTGACCCAGCTCGAATCTTCTTGCTTTTCTTTTATTGAATCATCCTACCACCTATACCTTGCAATGGATAGTAAAATTTTAATTTTGTGATAAATTATATTTCGTAGTTAGATTTCAATGTGTCAGCAACTTTTTCCACTTATTGCACAATCCACCTTTTTGTTGCATTCCGCATTTTACATGTTTTTTATCATGGCCGCAGCCGTGTTGTGCAGCAAAGTTTATTTACCCTCCCACCACACCCAGTAGTTTTACTGGTCAGTTGCTGTTATTTCGCTATGCTTTGCATTATCTCCCACGCACACTTAATCGACATCAAGCAAGTTAATAAGCACTTCTCTTATGCTTTAGCAATTTAACCAATTTTGTATTGTCATGTACCAATTAAGTTTTATGTTCATAGCAGAGGATTACCCCTCTTTGTGGGGGGTCTCTCCTGTCACTGTGTAGTTTATTAACCTGGACAGATTCTTACTTATGTATGTTTGGGGGTTAATAAACTTGACCCAGCTCGAATCTTCTTGCTTTTCTTTTATTGAATCATCCTACCACCTATACCTTGCAATGGATAGTAAAATGCCATTTGTAGCTTTACGTTAGCCCCTGTGATTGAATATGCACCACAGCTGTGGGGGTGAGGCTTTGAGCCTCTAATAGTCATATACATAAGTGTAATTTTTATTAATTAAAAACATATATTATGTCTAAAAGCAATATGAAGGCTTCTGAAGGTGGGGAATTAGATGTGAATTAAATCAGGCTTGCATCAAAGGTAGTAAATAAAGAAAAAAGAAAAAAAAGTGTCCGGAACGATCGGAATTCTTACCGCCTTAAAAATGTGGCTGTTCAACTAAGCCAACAGGTGCTGATATTCGCGTTGGGGACCCGTAGTCACGACATTGGGCCATGTCTTCCCGGAGGACCCCCATCGCGACTCTCGGCTAATCCAACAGTCACATTAAGTTCTGCACACTGCATTGTAAGTTATTGCCAGAAATTGCTGATGTCAGTTACATCTGCAACAACGATGCTGATCACACATATCGTTGTTAGCAAAGAAAAAAGATGATACCCTACCTCCACGCTAACCTCTTGTGATGGATCATGTCTGTCTACTGAGCGTGGCGAAATTAATCAAATGCGCGCAGACATTTTGTTGTGGCTTACCTCAGCTCCATACACAGACGGATGTATGGTCTAAGTGTTGTGTGGAGCTTTCACTTGGCCGTTTTCATATGCGAAAATGTACGCACTACCCTACACTAATGCTTAGTTTCTGAATACATGTATATATAATTTTGATAGTAACAAACAAGCCCATTTAAATTGAAAAGGAGCCCCAGGGAGACCAGAGATTCAGAACCTGAGGAAATCTAGACTTACTTTATTTAGGGCTTTAGCACTGCAGAGAGAGCTTAATTGGCAGTGGGGAAAATAATGTGGTTTAGGGACTGTGAGATAGACTAGCACTACCCAGACCATTGTGCCTGTTACAAACACCCATGTCAACAGAATGCCAGTCACACAGTACACTAGACATTTTGTATTCACACGATTTTTACAATGGGTGAATATTTGTACTTACATGGACCGTCAGTAACGGAATTTTTGTCACGTGTAGGGTATATTTAGTATTCATGGCCCGGTTTTATAGATGTTATTAAAATTAAGAGCCCGTAGCTTAAGATGTGAGGTGAAATTGGGTTTAACGTCGTGCTTGAGAATATTTCGCTCATATGACGACGTGCATGCGTGTGTATATATATGTATGTGCGGCTGCTTGTACTAGCCCAGACTTAATTAAGCTGGTTTTATAGTGATAGCTCACTGAGATATCATGCTGCAGTGAAGCATGAATACCCCACTCAGACACAGTATACTGACTCCGAGCCGCCCAGTCCTTGTTGTACCCATTAATGCCGATCGCCAGGCAGGGACCAACAAGTACCATATTTTAACGTCTTTTGGTATGACGCGGTCGGGGATCGAACCCGCGACCTTCCGCTCTCCGGGCGGACGCTCTAACCACTACATCACGGAGGCGGCCCCGTATATGATCGTATTTGATGAAATACACTACAAATGAAAACTGCACATTTCTAAAAAAGGAGACGAATCACAAATACCTAAACTGTGACACATTGTGACACGTTGTATTTCCGTTCATTGTTCCTCTTTTTGTTAACATTTTCTTATAATGTGTCTACAATGTTGAGCTATAGACCTCTCTATGTTCAGTGGTTAAGATCCGGGTTAGAACTGATCTTTAACAACCCATGTTAGGGACCTTTCATAATTTATGGCATGGGGTGGGGGTGGGGGTAGGGGGGTGATGATGATTTTTATGGAGAAGCTTGTACAATGTGAATGACCCCCCCTAAAATTTATTCACAAAATAAGTGACCCCTGCATGTCATGTACAAAATCAATGACCACCCCCTCTCCTACCCATACTTTTTAAGCATAATTTTAAGCATATTTTTATGTACAAAATTGATGACCCCCTTGCTCGCCAGAACAAAATGGGTGACCCCCTTAAAATCATCATCATAAATTATGAACGGTCCCTTAGTCGGCTCGCCGACGTGGTTGACATGCTCATGATATCAATCACTGGGCTGGGCGGAGTTAAACAATAAAACAACAACAACAACAACAAAAAATCAACAACTCGAAATCAAGAATCGCACTGACCTCTGACCTTACGAGTGTGTCACCCAAATTGCTCTCCTCCTCGACTTTCCGCGACGACTTTTTCAAAAAAACTCAAATGATTAATTAATTTGACCTCTATATAATGGCTGTCACGTCGACCTGGGCCCGGTTGTTCTACTTATCACCCTCTGATGCTATTCAACCAACTAACCGTGTGCTCAGCTGCACTGTGGGCCAGAAAGAATGTCAGAACATAACCAATTCATAAAAAAGCAGAACAAACCCTTGTGTGACAAACAACAATCCAAAATAAAAAAGTTTTAAAATGTTAAAAATATAAATGTAGGAAAATTATTCAAAATCACCTGTAAATAAAGCACATTAGCACCAACATGTTTTGTTTGTTTCTTGTTTAACTCAGCAATATTCCAGCTATATGCCTATCTTGGTATAATAAAATAATCGAATCTGGACAAGACAATCCAATGATTGACATCAAGAGCATCGATCTACGCAATTTGGATACGATGACATGTGTTGACTAATTTAATCTGTCTCACGGTCCCTGAACCACAGTATTTTCCTAGTCTGTCTCACAGTCCCTGAACCACAGTATTTTCCTAGTCTGTCTCACGGTCCCTGAACGTGGCTTTTCCTTAGTCTGTCTCACAGTCCCTGAACATTTTCCTAGTCTGTCTCACAGTCCCTGAACCACGGTATTTTCCTAGTCTGTCTCACAGTCCCTGAACCACGGTATTTTCCTAGTCTGTCTCACAGTCCACAGACCACAGTATTTTCCCTGTCTCACAGTCCACGACCACAGTATTTTCCTAGTCTGTCTCACAGTCCCTGAACCACCGTATTTTTCCTAGTCTGTCTCACAGTCCTGGAACCACAATGTATTTTCCTAGTCTGTCTCACAGTCCCTGAACCACAGTATTTTCCTAGTCTGTCTCACAGTCCCTGAACAACGGTATTTTCCAGTATTTCCAGTCTGTCCGCAGTAGTCTGTCTCACAGTCCCTGAACCACGGTATTTTCCTAGTCTGTCTCCACAGTAGAACCACGGTAGTTTTCCTAGTCTCACAGTCCCTGAACCACAGTATTTTCCCTAGTCTGTCTCACAGTCCCTGAACCACATTATTTCACTAGTCTGTCTCCTCCAACCACGGTATTTTCCTAGTCTGTCTCACAGTCCCTGAACCACGGTATTTTCCTAGTCTGTCTCACAGTCCCTGAACCACGGTATTTTCCTAGTCTGTCTCACAGTCCCTGAACCACAGTATTTTCCTAGTCTGTCTCACAGTCCCTGAACCACAGTATTTTCCTAGTCTGTCTGTCCTGAACATTTGGTATTTTCTAGTCTGTCTCACAGTCCCTGAACCACAGTATTTTCCTAGTCTGTCTCACACAGTCCCTGAACAACAGTATTTTCCTAGTCTGTCTCACAGTCCCTGAACCACAGTATTTTCCTAGTCTGTCTCACAGTCCCTGAACAACGGTATTTTCCTAGTCTGTCTCACAGTCCCTGAACCACAGTATTTTCCTAGTCTGTATCACAGTCCCTGAACCACAGAATTTTCCTAGTCTGTCTCACGGTCCCTGAACCACATTATTTTCCTAGTCTGTCTCACGGTCCCTGAACCACAGTATTTTCCTAGTCTGTCTCACGGTCCCTGAACCACAGTATTTTCCTAGTCTGTCTCACAGTCCCTGAACCACAGTATTTTCCTAGTCTGTCTCTATTTTCCCTACTGCCAAGCCTCTCTGCAATGCTAAAGCCCTAAATAAAGCAAGTCTAGATTTCCTTAGGTTCAGGTCTCGCTGGGGCTCCTTTTCAATTTAAAAGGGGTTTCTTTGTTACTATAAAAAATATATATATTCAGAGACTAAGCATTAGTCTATAACTCAGTCAGTGAGCCTGACTACCCGGATCCGGATCTTTCCGGATCATGTGGACTGACAAACAGCTTCAAAAATAGAATATATTACGGAGAAAGGGCAAAAACGTTCACAGTGAGAATTTTGGAACATGATCATTACAAATGATAATAATAAAACAGAAAATATGCCAGACATTGAGAGATTCTATGGCAATGTCTCAGGAACTGCTGAACGTACTACCCAACTAACGATACAACTATTAATAATAATAATAATAATAATAATAATAATAATCATTGAATTTTCTGTCCCTTTTGACAGGAATGTGATTGACAAGATCAAGGAAAAGCATGATAAATATGCGGACCTCGCCTTTGAAATGTCTCTTCTCGCTTGCATCCCAAGCACACTGTCGTTAGGCTCCCTATTGTTCTCGGTGCCCTGGTTTTGGTACACCTCCTCATCTCTTGGCAGCAGATCAGGAGGAGTGCCGGGTTCTCCACGCCGGGAGTACAGCCTTCCTGACACTCTGGGTACATGCAGAAGGCTGAGGAGTGTTCAAGGGAGCCTTCATATTCTCAGGAAAGTTCTTGGTGGGTTCGACTAGGAAGCGTTTCCTGGGAGAAGTCCCATTCGCTGTCCTGGGCTGAGTGTAGAGGGGCCAGGGCCCTGAGCTGATGATGAGCCTTACCAGCCTGACTGTGCCAGGATCACCCGAACCCTCTCTGCTGCACAATACAATTTTTTAATCTGTAAACATAATACCTCACGAATGGATTCTGAAGTCTCTTCATTGTATTGACCTCCCTGAGCGACTACTTGATTTACTCAAGTCTTTAATGTGTTGCTGGTCGACTGAACTTGAGATGTACTCGCAAGGGCAGGTGCAGACTTCGGAATCTATTCCAATCAGAAGGAATATTTCAGGGGATTCCCTTTAGTCCTTTGCTTTTTGTCTGTCTTCAAATCCTTTGAGCTTTCTGCTCAACAAAGAGGAGGGTTACCATCCCGGACCTCCTCAGCACAGATCCCCAACACCTCTTACTCATCTCCTTTACATGGATGACATCGAGCTCCTTGCCAAAGGAGATTCCAATTTGAAAGAGCAGGTTCTCCTTGTCGAGTCCTTTTCTAATGATATTGGCATGACATTTGGACTCGACAAATGTAATACTCTTCATTTGAAACGTGGCAAGGTAACTAATGATGGATCGGTCAAGTTACAAGGGGGAGGAGTTATTGAGCATCTTGTGGAAGATCAGGCCTACACCTATCTTGGAATGCAAGTTCGAGACAAGCTCCAGAATGCCCAGATTCAAGAGACAAACTTCGGGCCGAGTACAAATCTCGTTTAAAGAAAATCTGGAGCTCAGAGCTAAATGCTCGAAACAAGGTCAAAGCCACCAATACTTTTGCTGTGCCAGTCCTTTCCTATTCCTTTGGAGTAGTTGATTGGACAAAACAAGACATCCAGAGTCTTGACCGTCTGACCAGAAGGATCATGTCTGATAACAGAGCCCACCA